GTTATTTGGCGTTACAGGAAACTGTGCTGCCTGCAGTAAGCTCATACCTGCTTTTGAGATGGTGATGAGAGCAAAGGACAATGTTTATCACCTGGACTGTTTTGCATGTCAGCTTTGTAATCAGAGGTAAGAGAATTTCTTGGGTCTGTTCCGTAAGCTAAGTGCTAATTCAGCACTGGTGTGGTCATACATTCCAGAGAAGAGGAAACATCCACCAGCAGTGGAAACCAAAGACTAAGACCTGGATACTTTTCCTAGGACTGATACAGGACATTTTTCATGACCTTGGCCAGAAAACTTTTTGTGCCTCAAATCTCGCATCAGTAAAAAAGAATAATGTTACTTCCTCTCCTTCAAAAGGCTGTCTGTCAAGTTTAATTAATTAATATTTATAAAGGTCTTTGAGATCCTTTTCTGCAGAAGAGCATAGCGCTACCATTTGTCATTATTGCATTAGTTTCACTTAATTCTTCATTTTTATCACATGTATTTCTTTTAAAGTACACATTGTTTCTTCCTGTTGCCAGAACTGTAATCATTTAAATTTAAAAGATGTTGTTTCCACCACTTCCTCTGTAGCAGCATTGGACCTCTTATAGACCGGTTTTTATTTCCATATCCTAACTGCAGGTTATAAAAATCTCAAAGATCCAAACCTGATACTTCATTCTGAAGCATCGCCCATATGGCACAGTTGGAGAACAAATGTAAAAAATGGTAAAATTGTAACAACTGATTTTTTCAGAGGTTAATGCAGCCAAATTTATACCAGCTACTCTCAGAATGGTGGCCAAATCCTGTCAGAGATTTCACCGAGAGCTCCATTTCTGACTCCACGAGAGCCACTAGCAGCTTTGTCAGTGACTTCTATGAGGTCTAGGAACTGAAAGCACCAATTATGTTCTCTCCTTAATGTCCCTATTATTTTCAGTTATTTTTCAGTTATTACATGATCCTATTTAGCATTTTATGGCACTCATATTTTTTTCAGTTTCAGGTGGGGTGAAACGCAAGATGTACATTTCTAGGGAGGTAATAAAAAATTAGGAAGATAACCGTCTAACATGACAAAGTTAGACACAGCTCTAAACAAGCTTTCTTAACTCACCTTGTCCTACAGTTTATTATTTTTTAACACTCTAGTCATTTAAGAATCAAACATCCCTAAAGAACCATAAAATGTACAGCTGCTAATAAGTGTAGCACACTACAATTATGCTCTTTAAAAAAAGCCAAATTGACCTTTTTCATCATGTTGCATGGGAAATTAAAATACCAGGCAAGTAATAACTGCCGCTTAAACTATATAATAATGCAAAGTAATTATAGGTTCTAATGCTATTTAAAGTCCTATATCAATTTTGTCTTGCTACAGAACTACAAAACTGTATTCTGAGCAAGGCAGACAGAGGCTCCCATAGCACCCATTTAAGAAAGACACACGCACTCTCCTAGGTTTCCTTTCTTAAACCCTTCACATCCCTGTTTTTTTCCAAACCACGGTTCTAGTATCATTATTAAAGCCCCTAATATATTTCTGTTGTTCGCTTCATTTATTACATGCCATAATGGGGCTGCATATCTTTAGTGTTGGTTATGCACAATTAGCACTTAGTTATTGTCTTGTCACTTCAGCCCATACAAGACAAACTTCTTTAATGTAAGAAGTCAGCTAATCTTCATCAGTCAAGCAAAGCAGACAATGTTTGTTAGCCGGAGTGCAAAAGATTTTCATCATAGTTAGCACTCGTGGATCTGAGGAAGCGAAATTTCTTTTTCTCCCACTCCCAAAAAAAAAAAAAAAAAAAAAAGCACAGCTGTTGTAATTATTTTAATATTCCTCTTTTTCGTCTTTTACCATTGCAGCTGTGAAGGAATGTACAATTTCACTGCAGCTAATACACATCGTATGGTGCTTTGGGGCCACTGACCCCCTAGAAAAGTGCTGTTAGGTATTCCTGAAATGGAGCTTTATTAGGATATTTAATAGTTCTTACCCTCATTATTCCTGAGCCTTCAATCCAGTCTTTTATTTGATTTTTTAATTTTTATGTAGTTTAGGCAAAGAGTTACTGAAAGAGTCTTAAGGTGTCTTAGACTGAGAACAAAAGAATCAATTTACCTGAAATACAGTGTAGTTCATCTGGTGAAAACAGGGTGTGGTTCCAGAAGTTTCAAAGAATTTCAGAAATTCTCTAAAGTGACTCTCATCCCGATTATATTGCAATAACTATCATGGAACCTATTGAAGCAGACTGCCTATAGGATACCTTTCTTCCTCACAATTTGGAGCGAGTGGCACTCTGAAGAATCAATTTTGTTGTTTTCTTACAATAAATCCTATTTCATGGATGCTCAGCATAGCTCTTCGGAGGTTCCTATGGCAAAGCATCCCACTGACTACATTCTCCCATTAATAAATATCTTCAAATCTTTTGTTTTTCATTACTTGTGTAACACTAAAACCCTGAAATGGTAGACACCTGACGCATCACCCATTTTGGAGTTTTTTAAATTTACTATGAATACTTTTTCTCTTTTCTTTTAAACTGAATAACCTTGTCAGTCACCATGTCATTAATAATCTCTGTTGTCCTTCTTAGGATCCTTTTTTCTTCCTCTAGTTACGCTAATCAAAATCAAACAGCAGATTCTGAGTAAGGATGAGTTTATAAGATAACAGTTCAACTTTCTTTATTGAAAGTTAAACTTTTGTGCCTTCATATGCTAAATAATATTATTGACAGTCTTTAGGTTTGCTCTTTCCTTTCACTTCAGCCACTAATTCCACTAATACAGAATTTATTTATTGAAGAGAACATTTTTATTTATAAACACATCAGAAATATCCCAAAATTACCAGTGGATGTAGCAAGGCTCACCAGCTATTGCAAGACCTCTATGTATAGCCTTATTCCCCAATTTCACATTCTCTTCCCCCATTAAATTTTAAGTCCTTCGGGTCATTCTCTACAGTAGTTCTTCAGACTATATAATGCCCTTTGTTTGGTTCCACATTTCACTTTCAGTTATCAAGTAGCATTTTGGTTTTTCCACGACAGAACATATGCAATGTTCTGTAGCATACAAAATCATTTCTTCAGTTTGCATTACTTTGTCTTTGCCAACACTGAATTTCTTCTGTTGTTCTGTGCCTGGGTGCTCCTTCCAGTCCTTTCTGCCATCCAAGCTAGCTAATAATTATATTAACACTGACGTTTGGGGCAGCCCATTCTTCAGGCTTGCTATTGCATGACCCTCACATTCCTAACCTTTAAATAGTTGATCCTGGCCCAGTGAGAGAGATGCCTGCCTGTTTTTGCGTAGTGCTTTTGACCTGATGATTTTTCTGCTTTTATGTACAACTTCACTGTTTGCTTTTTTAGTTTCAAGTACTTACAATTCACCATCTAGTGCAAGTCTCAGCATGGATGGTAGTTAGACCCCTTTGGTTTTGGAGGACTTTTGTTTGGGCCATGAACTTTAGCTCTGAACTAAGTCATAACATGCCTGTCCCCTTTTATTGGCCTCTGAATCTGACATTTGCAGAGAGAGGAGAAAGAGGCATTGTCTCACATACTGTATTCCAAGAAGACAGACAGTAGACAGAGACAGCCTGAAAGAGATCACCTGAGCCACCAAGCCTAGTCCTCTGGTGTCAAATAGGCACTGTCTCCTATTTTCCCTTTCATAAAGCTATTCAGCCTTGAGATCTAATTGCTGCATCAAGCCAGTTTTTGAGATATTTGCCTCATTTTTTTCTTGATACCGATGCTTACAGCTGTAGCAATTTTGTGAATATTAAGCTCTGCTCATAGCCTAAAGGTTTTAGCATCCTCTTATCTCTCATGTCTCTGTCCAGCTTACTCCTAATTTGAAGTTTTTCCATCACCTAAATGCCCGCAGAGCTTAGTGACAGTCATCTTAATGGTGTGAGTGTTCCCCTTTCTTCTCTGTAAACATATTAAACTTCTCCTCAGAAGCCATTCACTTCATGTTGACAGTACCTTCAATATACTTAATTTCTGCAGAAAATTTAAAGGGGAAAAAAAAGGAAACCACTGGAAAAATAAACTTGTAAACAGACACTGCCATTCACACTTTGTCAGGTTGCATGTGTGTGACTAGCAAAATGTAGTGGAAAATCTTGAAAGTGGGCTCAGCTGTATCTTTGCTTGACACTTTTGACTACAGCAGTGATGTCAGTCTGCCTTCGGCTTTCCCACTTTCCGGAGTTTATGTGTCCTTCCTTTCACTCTCTGTCGGCATCTTTAGCAGCTTGTTCCATATTTCTGAGATATTTTCTCTCTGCTGTTTGAAGTCAGCTCAGGGTATGGTTTAAAACCCCCATCTGCTATCACTAGAGAGGTGTTTAAATCAATTGTTCTACCCTTCTATCTGAAATAGCCTTTATTTTTAATGGGACCTGGACTGAAAATGGTTACACACCCATTCAAATTGCTGCCCTGATGTAGCTGTTAACACCTCCAGTATTAACTGTAAAATGCCCACACAATGCTGCCTTTGTTCTCTGTCAAGTGCGGGGGCAGGAATGCAATTCCAGGGCCATCCTTATTTCAAACACCAATACTAGGTTTTTTTCATGAGTGATCGTTTTATAAATTCTGAAGGCCTGAATACTGCTTATTTTCACTGAGTGTCTCTAAATTTGGAATAAAAATTAATACATTGTCCATACCTGCTATTTAAAGCATAGTAAATGAAAAACACACCACGTTGAGGTTTGTCATTAGAAGTTGAGCTGGGATTCTGTGTGTATGTACACTGCATCGTGCTGGTGAAAATGTACAAACCCAGGCACAGATCACATTATCCAGACTTGGAAATGGACATTTTGACAGAACCTCAGAATTAGTAAACCATGGGTGTGGACTGATGAACTGTGATGTTAAAGGGTGGCTTAGTTCTCTTAGTGATGCAGATAGAGTAATGTTAGTGTGAGTTACAATGGAAATGCAAAGAAGCTTTAAAAAAAAGGAGGAAATGGGAAAGACAGAGGATAAGTTACATCACTGATTGAAAAAAAGCAGAAGGGAAGGGTGTGGTAAGTCTGAGATTCCTTTATCTTTGACGAAATCAATTAAATGCTTCCAGATTTTGTTTGTTTCTACAACAAAGATCTGACTTAACCAGAGGAGGCAAACACACATCTTTGTTCACAGCAATATTTCTCTCACTTCCTTAAGAAGCCTTCAGTACCGTGACATGCATCTTGTACATCAGAAAAGATGACAGACGGCTGTGAGATCTCCTTAAATATCTGTTCTGAACAATGGAAGTTTTGTACTTCTTGCGATTAGTCTAGGCACACCTTCCCCTTCCAAACAAGGTGATAACAGAGGTCATTTTGTAGTATAAATAGCCTTCCTTTTGCCATTGTAAAATACAACAGGAGTTCTAGGATGTAGGTTAATTATAATGGTCATTCTACTAATGTCACAGTCGTGTCAAAAGTACTATTATCAATTTATGGTGGTCAGTCCAATCTGGCATGTTAATGTAGCCTATTGTATATTCTTTCCTGTTCGTCTTACATGCCTATTAAAGAAATTGGGTGAGGGTTTTAGGGAAGGCTGAAGACTACCATCTGCCTGCTAGAAGAGTAATAGTCTTGCCTAATTATACACTCCTAACACAGTGGCATCTTAATATGCTCCTTGACTCCATTTGATATATATGTCCAAACTGTGCTCTGATTTACATCCTATGCCAATTCCATTAAAAAACAAACAAACAAACAAAAAACAAAACAAAACCAAAAAAACCTTAGTGGAAGGCTTGGCTCGAATTTACCCTTCCATTTAAAGCTAAGCTGGGGTTAAGTCTTAGAGTGTGTAAAACCAATCTGCAGCAGTTACAGGTTTAGCTCCTTTGCTTCAGAGGAGGCTAAATCTGTTTTTGAGAGTCAAATAAGGTTGAAAGTGTGAATGGACCAAATTTGTCATACTTCATCTGTCTGCTTGCCTTGTCTCATTGTACCTGGGAGCTAGTATGCCACGATTACAGGTTTTTCACCTGGCACTTACCTCTTTGTCACCTAATGAGTGCACAATTCACACATTTAATACTCAGAGGCCAGCACAAGCCTCACTGTCAGTCTTTGCCAAATATGTTTCAGTCGCTGAACTTGCACCATATGAAAACAGTTGCAGAATTTGGACCACAATAATTGCAAGTAACAGGTTTCCCCCAAGGCATGAAGGATCATCCAGGTGAACCCAGAGGATGTCTTACCATGCAGACAGACCCCCACCCCACAGGTTATCAAACAGCCAAGCGTGTCTAGACAGGCCACTGGCAGCCTCTTCTCAAGACAGCTGTACACTTGGAAGGTAAATGATTTGTGGAACTGTGTATGTTTAAAGCCATTCATGCATAAAGCTGTCAAATGCCATGTAGACATAGGTAGAGCATTTCTGGCTCAACATATTAACATTGCACAAGCAAAAGGCATTGACAGTTTTTATTGGGAAAGGCGTCCTGACACCCTTATGTAGCTGGTGGAGTTTAATTCCAACTGTATCACTTCTCTGGGGGCTGAGAAACAAAATCCTTCAACCAGGATTTTGATGCAAGCAATATTGCAAGTCACACGTGTAAGTAGTGCAGTGCAAGTGAATTACACTTTAAGCAGTGTCTTTTTAATTTACTAAATATTTTAAACACATTAGTCTGCTAAGCTTTTTATTACTCTGGAACACAAAGGAATATATAGCTGAATAACATCCACAGTTCAGAGTTAGTGTTTTCTGCTGGATGCAAAGTTGGTTTTGTCCCTCACTGGTGACTGACCCAGCAGGAGAGACACCTGCTGTGCAGTAACTCTCTGATGTGGTGGGCACTGCCAGCCTGACAGTTCCTGCTCAGTCCCCATCATTAATCCGTGGGCAAACTGTAATGGAGTGACTGATTTGTCACAATACAATAACTTTCCCTGCTTTTAGTCCATATTAATCCATATGTTTATTTAAGAGAAACTGAGAAGAGCTGGGTTTAGTTTGTTGTTGTTGTTGTTGTTGTTGTTGTTAAATGTTACCTTTTTAGGAAAAATAATTTACGTATTGACAATAGTTAAGACTCTTTTAGTTAATCTTGTAAGATGCCAAAAAGAATTTTTATTGGTATTGCTGTCAATGGACAAAATTACAAAAGATGGGAACTAGAAAAAATGCCAAAGAACAACTTTTCTGCATGAGTTCTATATTTCAACATAGCTACTCAAAGTCATTTGTGTTGTTAGTAATCTAGTATACCAGGATTGCGGTGGGAAGAATAACAGGAACCTCTAAATTCTGTAAAAGAGTCTTGACCATAAGTAACTTAAAGATTTCAGGATCATTCCCTAATCTCTATTTTCAATCATCATCAGTAGCAGGCAGTAATCCTACAGAAAAAAAAAAAACCTCCACAAATAAACAAACCAATTTTCCTTTAAGAGCAGAGCTAATTCTTTTCAATCCACTTTTTTATTACACTATTTTCCCTCTATCTATTTAGCTAGCATAAGGATAAATTTCCAAAGCTACCCAGTTGGAAAATAAATGGGTTCACTGTTTGTCTAGCATTCCAATCTTCACAAATGTAAATCAGTCCAACTGCTACTCATTTAAACCTCCAACTTCACAAAACATTAAAGGACTGCTTTCCATACACAATTTAATCTGTGACAATTCACCAAGATTTCTGCTTGAACATCATTAGAAACTGACTATCTGATAAAGACAGAAGGCTATCAGAGGTCAGGTGGGTCAACCTGTGTCATCTACGGAGTTTTACTGGGTCAACTACAGTAGGCACCACTATTTGAAGGTTAAATTGTTACAATTAAATACATATACAGCTATTCCCATAGCACTCTGCTGTTAAATCTACCGTAAACAACACGAGCATTTATATCTGACCCTAATTGTGTCCAAGATGTCACCATTTGGAAATTATACAAAAAAGGACATTATAATCCATTACACATTAAACAATACTTTATGTAGTGAGATCCATAATTAGCTGGTAGACACTGGTTTCATTTATTCACATCAGTGTTAAGGGGTTCATTTAGGTTACTTTCTTTCATTTTAATTGGAATAATGCGAGCAGTGCCTCCCCATATATTTTATAACTGGAGAGTTCACTATAAACAAAGGCACGTAACCCTGCCAAGGCAGTCACTAGGGAAACGTTTTCTCTGTGTTGGCCCTATTCACTTGTTTCCTAAGTATCTTCAAGAAGACTAGCTTTGTCAAGGGGAAAGGTTGAGGGGGTGTCAGGAAAGAGCCTCCTTAAATTCAAGCATACTGCTTAGCTGGGAAATCCTACTTTACTTGAAGTTTGAAGCCAGCCAGCCAGGAGCATTAACATTATGTGACTTTCCTAGTCATCAGAGAAAATCAAATCAAATCTCTCAGAAGCGTTTTGTAGCAATCAGATCATTCTGATGCATGTAATAGTATAACAAGGTAGGTACACTGATACCACAAGAGAGAGAGTAGTTAGCTGTGTACCTAAATTTATAATCAACTCCTACAGGAAAAAAAAAAAAGGTTTATCTGCATGGCTGTGTGCTTCTGGTTTGCACCACAATATATGTAAAATTGTGTGCTAGAAATGGTTCTCAGAACCACCACTTTCAATCAAATCTAGCGAAATATCCAACTGGAATGTAACAAGAAGCTCTTACTGGCACGCCTGCACAAGGCAAATATAACGTATCTCAGACAAGCTCTCTACTGCATATGATCACTTTGTTTTCTTTGCTTTTCTTCTGATTTGTATGAAAGCGGGACATTTACTTTTCACTCAACTCAGTAGCCTGGGATATTTATTGTGTTTTATCTGTGTGCCAGTGACCCGATCCAAGACTCCCACAGTCTTCGGTGGGCTTTGAATGAAGTCTTTGGCTGGGGAAGCAAAAGCGCTTGAATGCACTAGATTTTGCTGAAAGCACGGGATTAATTCTGGTACCAGAGCAATTCCTCTGCTGGGCTTTCACACACGTGCACACGTCTGTGTGTGCCGCACAGACAGCAGCGGTGTGAGCCGGTCAGTGCAACGAGATCATGAACACTTGCTGTACAGTCCTTATGTGTAAGATCAAATCGCACCATTCATCCTCAGACTACCTCTTTTTTCTCTTTATTATTGTAATTTCAGATTTTGTGTTGGAGACAAATTTTTCCTGAAGAACAACATGATTCTCTGCCAGACAGACTATGAGGAGGGTTTAATGAAAGAAGGTTATGCACCCCAGGTTCGCTGATCAGATGCCACATCATTAAGAATAAAAAGCACTATGTTCTTTTATCATTTTTGCTCAACGTGTATATAAGAAATGACACAGGAACCTACTGAATAGCATAGATATAGGGAGACTGAATGGTTGCGTGACATAAAAGGTGGACTGCATCTGTATGTAGTGAAAATTGCTCCAGTTCAGAGTTGAATGTTAATTAAAAAGGTACTGTACATACAGCTGGATTCTTTTTGCTTGCTCTTGGGGTTTTTTTGTTTGTTTGGGCTTTTTTGTTTCTTTTTGTGTCACTTGGCATGAGATGTTTATTTTGGACTATTGTACATAATGTATTGTAATATTTGAAGCACAAATGTAATACAGTTTTATTGTGTTACTATTTGTGTTCCTGTTTGCTTCTTTGTATTGTTGCATTTAGTACAATCAGTGTCTAAACTTACTGTATATTTATGCTTTCTGTATCTACCAGCTATTTTAAATGAGCTGTATCTTTCTAGTAAAAAGCATTAAAGAGCAAATCCCAACCATTATGCTACACTTAGAGCTTAAGAATACTGTTTACATTAAAACTATTTAGAAAACTAATAACTAGCAGCACCTGCTGCTAATGATGCTATGGTTAAGGGTCTATCAGCACTCCTGTTATAAGCCTCTATTTTTCAGGGGTTAAGCATCTGCTGTTTAATTGCATAGATTTTCCTCAAAGAGCACTTTTATTTTACTACAAATTTTTGAAAAGCAAATCTGTCTGGTTTGGGATATATTATAAAAGGTGCAAAAGTTAATGATTTTGGGTGCTGCTTTTGCACCCCATAGGCATTCCAAATGCCTGGATTTGATTTTTAATTTAGCTGGAAATTAAGCCCTAATGCAAACCAGTGCCTCTGGGTATCTTATTTTTTATATATATATAAATATATATATATATGTTATTTTCTGAAATCATTTAGTTTGGGGGCAGGGCAAAGGAAAGGGAGAGACTCCTGTTTATAAACATTTTAAAAAATTCTTAAAATTTGATGGGTCTCTCTCTCCCTCTCTCTATTTCCTTTTTCTTTTCTTTTTCTTTTTTTTTTCTTTTTTTTTTTTTTTAATCAGGGCTTAACCCTAAAGTTTTCTGGGGCTGTGTGCTCAACAAACCCTGAAAAAAAGTGAAAGTAGAAGGCTCTGTAAACAGCCCCCTCTGAGGGTCTATTTACATTAAAGAAATGACCTTGAGCTGACACTAGGACAGTGACTAATTACTAATTACCCACCTCAGTGAAAGTTGAAGGTAATTTAAATGCTGATGTGGATGGGACAAAACTTTGAAATACCAATACAGAAGGGGAGAGTTACCACTCTTCGACAGCATAGGTACTTTGCTGTCCATGCCAACATCCTACAGGTTTGTCCCATCAATACTGGCAATTAAAATCCCTTAGGCAGAGGTGAAATCACTGCTGACAGCTCCTGTTGGCAATCAGTCCATTTTCTAGGAGAGGTGGACCTCTGTTTTTAAAGCCATGAAGCTATTGCATCAGCAGGATGTCCCTAAGTGCTCATGTCCTTAAAGAGCTTACAGGTGTTTAGCAAAGGAAAGCAGGATGAATGTGTAAAAAGTTGTTAAATACATAATTAATTCTTGTCTGTTTGTCACTCTAATCTGGCTCACTGGAAAAACAACCTGTATTAAAAGAAGAAAAAAAAACACCAAAAAACAAAACCACCCAAACAACAAAATAGTATTAAGAAAAAAAATACAAGAAACCCATTATACCCTATGTTGTTATGAAACTGAGCTCTTGTTTTAATTTAGATTAAGAACCCTCTTCTGTGCTCAAATTGAGTGCTGTCCTTCCCTGCTCTTCCTGTCCTATTGTGCATTCCAACATGTTTTTCCTGGGGATGGTGAAAGAAATGGTATGAGTACACTGCACAGTGGCTTGACTTAGAAATGGATATTTAGTTCTAATGACTATTGTTACAGTGTGGTTTTGTTTCTGACTGTGAACCCTTTTAAAAATAAGCATGGCTCATAAAACTTGACTTTGACTCATACAGGACCTGTAAGAAATGCAGCGACTCCTCAGACTGTTCTTGCTAATTAGATGAAATAGCTCCACATAGCTTTTCAAATTAAATTTAACCCTCTTTTGTGGACTATTTTCCTTCCTAACCTTGAGCACAAGTCTCTTTTCCACTCCCTTCCACAGTCCCTTAATGTCTTTGGGATAACGAAGCAGTTGGTGTCAGAGGTATTATTAGGCTCTTCCAGATCTACTCCAGTGCAATAAACAAGCTGTCCTTTCCATGAAGGTCAGGATGGACAGAAAGGGAAGAATCATATTATCTTATTTTGAGTCCAATTTCAATTTTCTCCTCCAGACTCTCTTGGGTCTTTCTGTTAGAAGTCAGAAAGATCTCTCCTCTGATTTCCACTAGTGACTACACAGTGGATAGAAATCCCTGGTTCAGAAATAGGTCTGGAGAACATGAAAGAAGGGACTGTGGTTATGTCTTTGACTTCCTATAAGCTTAGGCAAGTCATTCAACTTCTCCGTGCCTCATTTGTCCCTGTCTGTCAAATGGGGCTAATGCATACGCTGCTTTTGGAAAGCATTTTTGGCTCTTAGGAAATGAAGAGCCATGCATGCAGGTGTTACAAACAGCATCAGGACATCATGGGAGAAGCGGAGCATTGGCAGTAGGTAACCACAGATCTGAGAGCACCAGAACCAAATAAACCTGTGGAAGGCTTTGTAGGGGGTGATGGAAACTACACACTAATAGTGCTGTAAACGCTAAAGTGCTCTCTCATTACCACAAAGTGCCACTGCTCAGTTCTCTGTGGAGTAAATTAAGATGGTGCAATGGGGAAATAGTGGCTTATTATTACACGCCGTGTTGCTCATATGTGCATGTGTGTGTTTTGTGATGTAGGCTCAGAGTGAGGAAGGGGAAGGTGGTCCTGCTATGAAGAAAAAAATAGTCTCCCCATTCTATCAACCTTATCTGATGTAAGGAAAAAGAAATGTTGATATACACATTTGCGGTGCTGCAATGGTATGGCACTGCTTTCAGCACTTTAAACTCATACGTCTTATTCACATACATATCTAACATTTGTATGTAAAAGATACAGTATAAACTTAAGATTTGATGTAGGTCAAACACATTCTCCTGTATTTCAAACTTCCATCTTGCCTGCCTGTTAAAATAATAACTGGGAGTTGAAACATTTAATGGAAACATTTACAACTCCAATAAAGTATAAGAACATAAGACAACACTGAAGAGAGATTATCTGCCAGGCCACTTTACTGATCTTTTGACAGAGGCCTTGACCATTCCTTTGGGTTGCTTTTAGTTATCTACCTTGGTTCTCCTTCTCCATCACTGTGTGTGTCAACATGCTCTGTCTGCAAACAGCAAAACGTTCTGCTAGTGACCAGTATTCAGTGTATGCTCATTTGCCAGGCAGGAATGCTTCCATTTGTGTCTCCTGTCTTTAGGGTGTTTTATCTTAATCTGTACAAATTTCTAAGTTTAGTCAGACAATATTAATAATAACAACAATAATTAAAAAAAAAATCTACTATTCTTGGGTGGCTGGTTTTTGATCCATGTGGAAAAGTACAAATTATCAAACCTAGATTTTCAACTGTGAAAAGCTCCTCTGTCAACTGTAACCTGCTGTGTCTGTTATCTGCCACTACTGATGATGAACCAAGACAGCCTGGATTTGGCAGAAGCGGTGACCAGGGCTCAAACTCCATCTATTTCATAATTGTGTTTTTATTTTAGGGGTTTTTTTTAAGCACACCTTCTTCTGTTGTCTTATCCTCCCAAGATGCTCAAATTTTTGCTCATGTAATGTAAATAAAGGAAAATCACCAACAACCCCTCAAATGTTCCTAATTGCCTACATATAAAATAACTTGAGGAAAATAAATTGAAAAGTGGTCAGTGAGAAGGGAAACTGTGGGGGAAAAGAAACAAACAGGGACTATGGCAAGGTTTCGCCTGTATAGACTTTAAAGTACTTTAAAGACTTTTTTCAACGTAATATACAGCAGCTTCTTATAATTTTCTCAGCAGTAGGTAGTTTACAGTCATCGGTACCTAGAACAAATCTTGTCAAAAATGAAAGTTTGTAGTGATTGCTGGGTATAATTTTATACATTTAGCTGATTTTTCTGAAAGCTTCCACTGTGCTGCTCTTGTCAGACTAAATTATCAATTTAGCCATTTGTTGTTTAATGAATAAAAACTCCTATGGCATTGGAGATGTTGTGGTTTCAATAAAGCAAAAGCTTTAACAACTCAAACTACAGAAAGCAAAGTGTGTACTCTATATAAGAACAGTGTTTTTATTCTTTTAAATACCACTTTAGATAAAAAAAGCCAATTACATATTCACTTAACACATTTCTCCTACTTCAGGCCAATGATGCAGACCAAACCTGTTTACTGTTCAGTACTTTGCAAAAGGAAACCAAAATACAATATATGCAAGGTAATAGGCCATTAGCACAAACATGCTCCCAGTAAAAATCTTTTGTGTAGACACCTTTACAGAAGCTGCCAATTGTGGGTGAGAGAAGTATTATAAAGGAAATTATTTTAATACTATTTAAGGCATTAAGAGCTGAAGAGTATCTGTTTAAAGCCTTAAAGTAAGAGCTGCATGTATCTAATACCTTTTAAAATGCCCTTCTGCTGATTTATATTCATTCTGAACCTGCTAATAATGAGTATACATAAGCAAATACCATCTTCCACCTATTCAGCGTGTCATTGATATGAAAGCCCCAGAAAATATCTCACGTAATCAGTGTGTTCAGAGAGTTATCTAGCACAAATTACTCATTAACTCAATAGCACATAATAAAAAAGAACATCAATTAATTAATGAGTCACCCTCAGATCACTTTGATTACAACACAGCTCTGTTGAAACAGCAGTTATAAATGGGGCTGCCTCTCTTTATTCATTGTTTGCAATTGGCCCATTATTTTGCAGAGACCAGTGTCATATTTAACACATGCCTGCAGGTAATTGTGTGATAAGTTTCATAAATGAAGATGCAGAGGGAGAACACGGAGTGTCTTGCTCTGCAGCTGAGTCTGAAGATGCAGGAATCCACCTTACCTCCTGCAAGGTCCTAGTGACAGGACAACACTCAGAACCAGTCATACTTACCTCTACTTTAATCTAAAGATCTCAAAGCCCTGGGCAAACACTTCTGATTTGGGCCTTCCTCCTCCGTGGATGTCAGTCTCTTTTCACAAGTATCAAGCAACAGGACAAGGGGAAATGGCCTCAAGTTGTGCCAAGGGAGGTTTAGACTGGATATGAGCAAAAATTTCTTGACTGAAAGAATTATCAAGTACTGGAACAGGTTGTTCAATGAAGTGGTGGAGTCACCATCCCTGAAGGTGTTTAAAAGATGTGTGGATGTGGCGTTTAGGGACATGGGTCAGTGGTGGATGTGGCAGTGCTGGGTAACAGTTGGAATCAATGATCTTAGAGGTATTTCCCAGCCTAAAATATCCTTGTGAACAGGCCACATTACTGGTATTTCACTTAGAAGAACACAGAGCCAGGGAGATAAGTGGGCTGCCCAAGGACAAGCAGCTGCGTTCCTCAAACCCCACTATTAGCACAACTTGTAGGACCTCACACAGCCATCCCATCCTGGACCTTGCCAAGACAGGCTCCAGTGCCACGCTTGGAGCAACACATGCAAACTGCTCTTCCATGCTCAGAGATGGACAAAGGAGCAGGGAAACACTGAACCTCCAAAGCTTCATTGTGGTGAACTGTGCTTGGTGAACATGAGCTGGGGAGGTTAGTGTGGAGGGCTGGTTGGTTAGGTATTTTCTTAAGTTTTCTACAGGAAAATATGAATGAAAGAACACGAAGTCACCACCTAGAGTTCCTAAACTATCTTGGTTAAATGCCATTCCAATAAGCACATAGTGTAATTATAACAGTTCCCTTAGGTAAGTAAGAAACATCTGTTAGTAACACATAGCAGGTGTTAGCAATTACACATACTGATTTTTTTAAAGTGTTTTTAATTAAAAAGAATTCTGTTTTCTGAAAAGGAAAGCACGGTAAGTCCAAACAAGCTTTTGTTTGTGTGGCTCTAGATCATGTAATATGCAAAACGATAAAGCTAAACCCAACTGAAATTAGCAAGAGTTTGCACGTTTGACTCCAGTTTATTGCAATCAAAACCAAATTGGTCTTCACTGCATTACTGTAAAGCATACAACATTAGTATTCTAAGCCAGGTCTCACCAAATGTATGAAATCCATACAGTTCATGTAATCGCTGAACACATCTAAGTAGAGCGTTTGAACCAGGAAGATTGCTATAGTTAAGCAAAATGTGATAGGTATTGTAAGAGAGGAGCAAATTGCAGCTAAATTCTGTATGATAGTTTCTTCACAATCCCTTTGTCCCACTACTGGGAAACAATGTCTAGATTATGTTACTGCCAAATCAAACTATGTTGTCAAATTCTTTGAAAAACTAACCAAGAGCAATTTACATTTAGCAATGTGATAGGCTGTGCCATTGAGAAATAACAAGAGCCACCCTAGTAGGCCAACTATTTAGAGGCATTTTTAATCCAAATTAGAAGATAATGAGATGACAAATTTGTTTCCCTGTCCTGACGCTATCTTTCCATGGATGCCAAGATGAGGATACCATGATTTAAATCTTGCCATAAATTTTGACTTTCATTTTATATAAAATACATAAGCAAATGAGTTGGCAGGGAAAAGAGAAAGAAGCACAAACATTACTAGTACAAACTATGGATTCGTCTTTGTATCCAGCTGGGATCCAGACTGTGCTTGTTTGGAATATACAAGAGTGTGGTTCCTTTCACAAAATTCCCTAAACTCCAATGTGGAAAATAGTCTTTCTATATAGTCTATAGTCTATATAGCCTATAGTCTACAGCAATACAAAGGAGATTATGTTTCTTTATGTTCTTCCCAAGAGTGGGACATTTATGAGGAGACACATATATAAAATAATGGGCATGAAAAGCCTTATCAGTAGACTGTTATGCCAAAGAAAAAAGTAATAAATACATATTCATGTAACTGAATGCAAAGACCTGGAAATTAAGATCAGATTTTTAAAATTTTTCTGCTTTCAGGAAATATAGGTTTTATCCTATGTTATCCATAAGTATTTTTAAGCATCTTTATTTCTTTTTCAAAATATGTAATATTTGTTTAAGCCTTCTTTTATATCAAGGACATTAAAACTACTCTCAGTGGCATCCAACTAATACACTGCTAGTGTAACCAGTTACATTAGTAAGAAATTTTAGGAACATACTACAGAGCTTTACTAGTAACTAGTAACTAGAGTTATTCACAAATGCAGCATAATGTCCAGGTATTCAAAACAGATGCCACACTGCTAACCAAATATATGAGCTGTGAACAATAATCATATATCATTAGCCATAAAAGTATTTTGATGGGTTTTTTTGTTCAAGTTGAAGCAGAGTATTTCAGGACTTATTGTACACAGTGCCTTTCTGGAGTACAGTAAACCTATGACAAGGTGTGCATATTAAAAAAAAAAAAAAGGCAAGATAAATGCCTAAAAAATGTCTTTAATTTAGAATGACAGACTCACATTTGTTCCTATGGTCTCTCAAAGTTCATATAAGGATAAAATATCTGTAGGAGTAGCTGCTTTGGCCTCTCATCCCAGTTTATTTTGAGAGCATTGCAATAGGTTTTTCCACTCTCTTCCCCTCAAAGTGCTCTTAAAAGGAGGGAATCCCCTTTGTTATGTCTTGTATGGCCATCTGGAAGATCTGAAAGGTCTCCCTGGAGGTAATGTTCCCAAGGTATGATTGAAGACGGGGACATGAGTTTGTGAAATGAGCAGGACACAAGACACACACCTCTCTTCAAAGTCAGGTTTAGAAACATCTGCTCATAAATGGCACATGGTAACTCTGGAGACATGTACCTGAAGGTGGTATCAGCAGTTCTCACCTGGACCCACCAGTGTGAACTTTAGTCTCTGTATCTTCCTGTCCATTTAGGAAATCGGCTCAGACTGCCAATGCATCTTGGAAGTGTTATGAGCATAAACACATTAGTGATACTGAGATGTTAAATTAATAGTGATACAGAGGGCCACAGGTTAACCAAGCAGGACAGAGGACTGAAAATTTTCCACAAACAGAGCAGCAGAACTGTGCCAAGGCAATGAAGCCCAAAGATAAAAGAAATCACCTTATTGCCTACTATCAGCTTAGGCCTCCTGACATATATTCTACCAACTATTCAAAGTCCTTCTGACCTACAAGTTACTTGTTTGAGTAGCATGATGTCACAGGGTCACAAGCTATTGATGTTTTCAACCATCTGAAAATCCCTTTAAGCAATCTGCACATTCCTGATGAACATCCCGCACATCCACATACCTTTCCTTCTTTAATTGGGAGTACCTGATCTTGGAGTCTGAAAGTCATCTGAAGCAACTCTGTGGATCGTGTTGCTGGCATTTACTGGAAAAGTGAAGCAACACAGAACTATCATAAAATTGCAGGGTTGCATTCACCCTTGTCTCATTGTGTAGTATTGTAATAGGAAGTTTATAGAGAGGTTGGATTTTTAAGGACAGGCTGCATATGAATTTGTTCCAAAGTTTTTATTGTGCTAATGAACTGTAACAGCTCTAATCTATTTTTAGATGGTGGTATTTTAAGTCTCTCTGCTCCTCAGTTCAAAATCCATAATGTGGAGATAATATACCCCTTTTCTACCTCGCGGGATGTCTGATGGTCGTAATTGTGGGATTTTTCAACAGCACTAGCTAACATATAAAATACCTTAGCAGGAGAACAGCAATATATACAAATTGTAGCTTAGGAATTGTCTCAAACACTAATTGCTAGATACTAGGGAAGTGCTGGGAAAAAGATTGCTCTGCCTTTGCTTTTTCTTATCACAGTTCCAAACCACCTTTTAATAGTCCCTGTCAAAGGCAGATACTTGGCCAGATGAGAACTTTGCACAGATCCAGAATGGCCATTTTATATTATATTCTTCCCTGAGGTACTACAAGGACTAATATGGTGAGAAAGAATGAGAGACAAGGAAAACAATTACAATCTCTACAATTTATTTTCACATTTACAATTATTCTTTGACAAAGCATATGCCAATTATCCCTGCCTGCTTCTCAAGACATTATTAATTGGTTGATTACACAAAGCAGAAGCAGATGAGATGTGATCTGAAAGACCTGAAAGAGAGTGAATAAGATCCTTGAGGC